ATACTATAAATGACAAATCATATTTATATTTGGTGACACTGCAGAAAAATGCGTTCCATTATAAGCTGTCAATCACAATATTTAGGTATTTTTCCTATATCTTAAGATTTTTTTCCTTCCCTTGAGTTGAGCATAATATTTCAATCAACTTCATACATTTCATCAGAATTTTTTAAAAAATTATTTTTAAATTCCCAAACTTAATCTTTAAGCTTAATTATTTTTCTTATTTTTTGCCACAGGGACAATAGTTGTTCCAAAATGTTTATTATACGTTGTATATTGTTGCATGAGGAGCATAACCAATCTAGTCACGATGTACCAATGTTTGAATTATGGTTTTAAGATGTGCTGCCAAAATGGCAGAAAAAAATCTTTGTATCTATATTAAGCAATGAGATATGGTGGTAACTAGCTAAATCCGACAGGACCATAAACTGTTTTAAAATTGGAAGGATATTAGCAATTTAACATCTCTGGAGGGACAATTTCATTAAAAGTATTGACCAAGGGGTCTGAGATTTTTTCTTTATATATTTTGTAAAATAAATTGCTGAAATCAGCCGGGCTCGGTGTTTAAAAACTGAGACAAATTTCCTATTATGTTATCAAGCTCTGTTTTGTTTAATGGTTGATTTAGTTTGATTAACTGCTCAGGTGAAATTTTAGGTAGGGTTATATTCTACAAATATCATTCAATATCTTTTTTTTAGCTTGTTTAGGTAAATTGTATAGCCATTTGTAGAAGTTGTTAAATACATTGCCAATTTTTTGTGCAGTTAAATAGACATTTTCACCTATTTTGTTGAAGGACATTTTTCTCTTTTCTTCTTTTTTTTTTTTTAAATGTGTTCTTTTTATCTGCTCCTTTGTCTTTATGATAATATTTATCATTTTGAGAATATCTAGTGTTTAGTGTAATTTTATCAAATTCAAGTGCATTTATTATTATTTTTTTTAATATTAATTTTCTTCCATCTTCCTTTGAAAATTTATTTTTAATTCCAACTCCATATATAAATTTAGCTAAAAAGGCCCTTTTTTCTTTTCTGATTTTTCTTAGGACCGATTTGAAATCACACAATACTGAAGCGTGTGCTGTCTCTCTATTGGCATTCTCTTGAAAATAGTACTTAATCATCTTTCACAGAAATTCTTGGTTCTCATTATTTTTCAAAACCCAATTATCCATTTGCCCAGTAGTTTAGTGGGGTGATAGCTGCTTGATCCAATGAGATATCTGACTGCATTTTGTGGTCAAGAAGGAATGTTTTCCTAGTTTGTTGGAAAATTGGAAGCGCTTCAGACTGTTGGAAGCGCTTCAGACAGAAAATTGGAAGCGCTTCAGACAATTTATTTTTTGCCTTCTTTAGGATCAACAGCAAAAACATATGTGAGGAAGTCTCTTATCAGCTATGTAACTATGTAATCTATCGTGCACAGACATACATTTAATTATACGCATCATTTCTGTTGGTAAGATTGTTTTCTTATTTATTTTCTTTCTGTAACACCCATTCAATACACATATATTTTATATTTATTTTTTGTCATCGTTTCATTAATATACAATAGATATAGAGTGTCCTTTTGGTCTTTGGGCACTGAATTATTTTAGTGATAAGTCAAGTTATTATCTAGAATATTTTTTCTAAAGCAGTTTCTAAGATATACTTGCAATGGGATCTCTGATTCTCTTAAAACTATAAAACACAATAAGCTATGAATGATCGGGAACCAGTCTTGTCGGTAAACTCTAACATACTTGAAGAGAGCCATAGTGACCAATATTGAAGGGTTCAAAGGAAACAGACAGGGACTACTTTGTCTCTGTATATATCCTATGCCTGAAACTTCTAGACTTTGAGTGGAACTACTTCTGTCTAGAAGTGTAAATTCCCCCAGCTGTCACCAACGACGGCTGCCAGGAACTGATTTTGTTAATGGAGTATCCTGCGGCTTTGCGG